TGAGCTTCTCTAGCAGTTCTTTCCACAGATGTAAAGGAGAGAGTGTTTTTGAGTGTCAGGCATAAAGCTAAACTGCCATACTTGAGTTGTCTGCCATTGAATTTGGTTATGCCATTTGTTTCTGTTTAGGTTGGGCACCTATTCATTTACATTGTATATATATATATTGTTGGCTGATCTATGCTATTAAATCCAAACCCAATTCATAGAAAACTCTCCTGTGGATTTTCAGAGGCTTTAAGTCACCTGAGAAGAGCTTGCCCATCTTTCTCTTCAGAGCAGCTGGTAGATTCTAACAACCTTTTGGGTTGACCTTGCAACTCCGACCTACTAGATCACCAGAGCTTAGAAAACTTGATGTATACAATAATCACATTTTGACCAAATTTCTGGGATTGAGACTGGAGAAAGCTTTTGTATCTACTGCTGCAGATAGACATTAGTTGTCAGTGTATATTAAGATCATTTTAATGCAAACCTTTTTTAAGCTGATGATATAAAATGTGTGGGATAAGAATTACTTCTTTTGGCATCAGTTTACTGTTATAAGAAATAACATTTTGAGTGTAAAAAGAGTGAAAGCCACATGGGGACAGCCATATCTGACCTGTGCCAACTTCACAAAGGGCAACTGTCCCTGTTAACAGTATCAACAATACAAAACCTATTCCTGTGAGGCTACATATGTCTCTTATGCTCCTGAACCTCTTTATACGCCTCTCATCACCAATCTTACTGCTTTACTGGGTTCAAAATCTAATGCAGTAGCAAACAGAAACACAGTGGGGAAGTTAAGAGGTTCTGTTTCAGCTTAGTAGCAGAATACAGGCACTCAGTCAGGACAACTTCTGACATGTGTTTGCAGACACCTCAGCCTTGAGCCTCCAGTGTTGCAAAGTTTTCAGTCGTGCGAATTATGCCCTACCTACTCCCACCTCCCTCAGTTGTCTAATAAACTTGGACAAAGAGTCTCAGCTCCAGTTCCAGTGGTGTAGCAAGGTCCCATCTCATGCCAGTTCTCTGAGTCTCTGTCTAATGCCAGGTCTCTAGTTCTCCGCTGTGGCTGCTACTCCCATAGGTCCTCCGGAAGGGAGATTCCTTCCTTCTGCTGCTGCTAGACCTGCTCAATTTAATGGCGAGACTAGCCAATCCCCTTGTGGATAGGCAATATGCACTATGCTCATATTCCCACCCATGAATGTGGCAAAGTCAAATTTAATGGCTAGGAAAGCCATTTTGCACACTAAGCTCTTAATATCACAGTAAGAACAACAACAACAAAAAGCACTACTGCGGGAAAAAACTGTAAAACTGTGGCTATAAAGTGCAAGTCAGGGAGTAAGGTTTATACTTTTTATTATCTACAGAGTTAAACCTGATTTTGAACTTGTGTACCATCAGTGATAAGGAAGACAGAGTAAAAATATGTGAATGGACTTAGATAAAATTTAGTAAAAATATATGAATGGACTTAGACAACATTATCTTTTATGTTAAAGACATAACATTGCAGAATGAATAATTTCCTTTTGGAAAAGTTTTGAATATAAAATAAGACTTCAAAGCCACAAAAAAATATGACAGAGTAAATTTGTTAAGTATATTAACCTCGACATCAGTGGTTAAAATAGTTTCAATTTTGGCAAAGAATTAATGATATGACAATTTGAATAGATAAATGTGTTTTTTTCCAATTAGTGTGTTTCAGTAATTGTCCTGTTTGGTAAATCTTTGTATTGTAAACTAAAGGCAGAGCCTTAATCTGTTAAGTAAGCTAAAATAATATTATGTGTTTTACCTATATGCAGTTGGATCCTGAACGGAGTTTGTTTGACCAAGGGGTGAAAACAGATGGGACCGTACAGCTTAGTGTACAGGTTATTTCTTATCAAGGTAAGATCCTATTAGTAACAGTTATTTTAAAAGTTCACTAATGTATGATAACACAGGTGTGCTTTTTTAACCTTTAAGTGTTTGAAAAGTTGTATAAATGAATGTGATTATATAAACCAGATATGCATGATTTTGTTTTATATCTGCTAGGGAGTAACAGTGTAATGAATTCACTAGTTTAATCAGAAAAAGATATATTAAGGGATGTTAACAAGCAGAAGGGTATGTGAGAAAAGGGATATCATTACTGATATTAGTTGGATCTTTTTTGAAAGCAGAGAATACCAGGAAGATACTTAGTTGTGTTTTATTTACTCTGCAAAAGCATTTGACTATGTCGGTCTTAATTAATGGATATCATTGCAGTGAATTAGAATTCCAAGACACTTAATTGTGCTTGGATGGGACCTATATGTACAACAGCAAACAATATTTGACAGAACAAGGGTATACCGAATTAAATCAGGAAAGGTTTACATTGGGTTTTGTCCTTTTATGAGACCAATTCAGTATAAATACTGACCGAATAAGAAACTGAAGAATGTGGTATTAGAATGGAGAAGAGTGATCAATGACGTGAGAAATGCAGATGACACAATCTTGGTTGCAGAAAGTAAAGACGACTTGAATCACTTAATGAAGAAGCTCAGAGACTACAGATTTCCATGTGGATTACACTTCAGTATCAGAAAACAAAAATCCTTACAATAGGACTGATACTACCATAATAAGCAGAGAAAAAGATTGAAGTTGTCAAGGATTTAATTTTACTTGGATCCACAATCAGTACCTACAGCGGAAACAGTCAGGAAGTCACTTTGCTTTAGACTTGAAGTCATCTAGTGTTCCAATTCTCTTTGCACTGTGAGCTCTATCTGTACCAATTATGATCTGTCAGCCTCTGCATTCCCCTCATCTGATGAGAAAGTTTTTCAAGTTGAATATGCTGTGGAAAATAGTAGCACCACTATTGGAATCAGTTATAAAGATAGTGTCATGTTTGGGTTAGAAAAATTAGTCCTTTCAGAACCTTACAAAGAAAGTTCCAACAGTTAGCTTCTTAACATTTATCGAACATTGGAATAGCCAAAGCTGGTTTATTGGCAGATGTTCTTTGTTAGCACATAGCAGGAGAAGTTGTTTCCAACTTTTATACAAACTCTAGCTGTAACTGTGCATGTTATCAGGAAGGGTCAGTTCCTAGAGAAAGACATCACACTTGGTAGAAGATTAGTGAAAAATAACAAGCCTCTTGAGATATAGAGTCACATGATGGATGCAACAGTGGCCTTGACCACAGCAGAAATTACGAGGGTGACATTGACTCAAACAGTGTTTTGTTACACATAGGGTCATTGACATGGTGACTGCTACAGTGGGCTCTTGTGTGTCAGGAAGTGTGAGGATGGCTCAGGGCAGAACAGGATTCACTTCTTCTGTTCATAGGCTTGCTGTGAGTCGTACTCAATGGCACCTAACAGCAACCGCAACAAACGTCACTATGAGTCAGAGTTGAGACAATGAAACCTAAGAACATCAAAAAGCAAATCATAGAGAGACGCAGAGAATCAAGTTTCAGCCGACTTGCCACACTGCTTTCTTTCCAATATAGTGCTAGCAGCCACACTGCTGCCTTGTCATAATCTGAGAGATCCAAAATCTGAAGGCTATACAATGAACTGTACCTGTTTTGTTATCTAAGACCTATCCTGTCTATACAGTGATCCACATAACCGAAAAATGGAAACTTTGTACCTATTAGCCATCTTTTCACTCATTTCCAAAAAGAAGTCTTATGCTAATATTTCATGAACCTCATTCATGTATGACTGTGACTCCTGGCTTCAATGAAATCCATTATCAGCAAATTATCCCAGAAAGGAATTTGCGGAGAATGGTTCAACCATTGCACTAATCTTATATATCATACAAGTAAGAAAAATAGGAAACCCTTTTAGAAAGGTAGAATTTTGGTTTTATAACTGGTTGTTGGAATAACTAATACATTTTCAAATGTTTTTGTAGATACTCTGTTGCTTACAGTTGGGTATCATAAACCAAAGTTTTCCTGAGATTGTTGGAGATTCTAGTTGTCTTACTGCTGGTCTTTTGCTCTTTAATTGTTATGTGGCTGACTGTTAGGAGTAAGAGTTCATTGCTTTTCTCTTTAAAAGCTGCTCAATACAGATATATTTAGGAAGAGGTAACCTGGTAGAATTTCAGTTGAGGATTATTGTTTACTATCAGAACCAACCTATAGCTGACCCTTCAGCAGGGTCTCTGAAAGAGACAGTAATGGGAGGATGTTGCCCGTCTTCTCTCCAAAGAGCAACTGGTGGATTCAAACGACATGCCTTTGGGGTTGCACCACAAGTTTTTACCACTAGGCCACTAGAGCTCACAGTGGAGGATTCCTCAAAGGACTTTAATTTAGGAGAGGAGCTTTATTGGTTGGTTGGTTGGTTGGTTGGTTGGTTGGTTGGTTGGTTGGTTGGTTGGTTGGTTGGTTGATCTGAAAATTCTGAATGTTTTTATTGTGTCAGTTGGTTGGTCAGTTGATTGATTGATCGGTTGATCTGAAAATTCGGAATGTTTTTTTACCATGTCTCTGAAAATGACTTATTTACACCACCTGATAAATGACAGCAGTATATTTTCTTTTAATACTTGTTCTCACAGGAGATTAAAGCTGAATTCCGTTTTTCTTTCAAATACACGTCTATTAACTTTTGGTTGTTGCAGCTTCAGTGAGCACAACAAATAAAAAAGTCACTGCCATAGAGTCATAGCTGAAGCTTAGCGGGGTTTTGGTGACTATAAATAACAGGGATGGAGATGGCCTCTCTTTTTTTCCCCATGGAGCTGCTGGTGGATTCAGACCGCCAGAGAAGATGCCACCTTTAGGTTAGCATAATGTCTTAGCTTTTAACACGTTCTTAAACACTAATTTATTATAGATACTGAGGAGTATGTATAATAATAGGTCATTTACACATTTCTTATCTTTTCTGTAGAAATTTAAAAGTTATGGGAACTTGAATAGCTTGTGGATTTGGGTTTCCTTCATTCAGTTGAAAATAAAAATTCAGTGATGTGAATTTAATTTTTTATATTTTATCTGATACAGTTTTCGGATTTTATTCCAGGCATTTTTTTCTTATTCTTAATGTTTGTAGCATGTGTTTGTGTGTGGGCTGTATGTTAATCATTTTTTATTTACAGAAAAGTTGTAGTAATAGTAAAGGTATTCCTGGATACCAACACCCAGCTACCTCAGACTAATTTTTATTCCATTTGCTTTATTCTATTTCTTTCTCCCATGTATAATTTTTTAAAATTGTTTAGTGTTACGTTGCAAACTTGAGATCTGCCTTCTGTTTCTAAATATGTCAGTGTGTGTGTATATTGCTTTTTTTAAAAAACAATTACTATTTTTTGTGTGTGTACTGTCAAATTGGATCTGACTGGTACAGGAAGAGATTTTCCCTCCTTCTCCAGCAGAGCATCTGGTGGATTCAAAATGTGTACCTCTGGAATTGCAGTGCAGCTTCTTGCCACTAGGCCACCAGAGCTCCCTGTGCTTTTCTTTTTAAAAAACGTTTTGCATGACCGTAGTTAAGTAATTACATGAATTATAAAAATTAGGAAATCAGTGTTGGCATAACAGTGTTATCTGTAGAAGTTTGAACACAGTACATTATCTGTAGAATTTTTTATTCTTTGACAATGAGTTGTCATTGTGTTATTATCAAGAAATCTATTAAATTCTCTACACATGATGCTGAAATATTTGCAGTGTCTTTCCCCCCATGCTGTTTGTTTCCACTCGAGAACATACACATTAGACGATAGATATTTTTATTTTATGGCCTTTCATTTAAATTTACATTTTTGTTCTTAATCTTGTCAAGGAATTGAGCCCAAGCTAAACATCCTTGAAATTGTTAAACCTGCGGAAACTGTTGAAGTAGTTATTGATCCAGATGCCCATCATGCTGAAGCTGAAGCACATCTTGTTGAAGAAGCTCAAGTGATCACCTTGGATGGCACAAAACACATTACCACCATTTCAGATGAAACCTCGGAACAAGTGACAAGATGGGCAGCTGCACTGGAAGGTTATAGGAAAGAACAGGAACGCCTTGGGATCCCCTATGGTAATTAAATAGATAATTACATGTTAGTTATAAAATATAATAATACAATTTTACATAGAAGACACACTAAATTATCTGTTTAAATGGAACCATTTTGGGGAAGAATACTGATTTTCTGTAATATCTTATTTTTAATTGAGCTGTAACAGATACTTTTCCTAAGGATTAGGAATGCAAAGAAATATGAAAATAAAAAAATTCCTACCCTTGGGGTTCTCAAAGTGTAGTTGAAAGGACGAGGATAGATGAAGAGATAATTGCCATGAAGGTTACAAATTTTTAAGCTGTTAACAATGCAGAGAAAATAAGGTATTGGAATCGCAGTGGCTTGTAGCAAAATTGTGCAGACAGGAAATGTGCAAAAACTTAGTAAAGTGGGGTAAATATGAGTAAACAGACTATTTGGAGGATAAGAAATTATAGTAAGTTTTATGTGTCTTTAAGTCATTTGAATCTGTTAGTTGTTCCACCAGAGAAAGGTGAGTGTTCTCTTGTTACTAATTAGAGCCTTGGAAAACATCATGGCGGGTTGTTGTGAGTCAGAACTGACTGGACAGCAGTGAGGACAGCAGTGAGTTTTGATATTGCATGTTTGAAACAAGTGGGGACTGAAAAGAAACCAGAACATACTATCATAATTTTACATGTGACATGTCGATAGTAGACTAGATGAGTTCTCTAACATTGGAAAGAAGATTTGGATAAAAGCAGTGATACAGCTGTGTTACCGAGTTTTATGAGGAAAGCAGGAGATTGAAGGAAGTTTCAAGTATTATTCTAGATTATCAAGTTTGGGTGACACAACTTATTGCCACTCAGTTGAACTGATACAAACTTGACCCTTCAGCAGGTAGGTTCTCAGATGTTGGATGCAAATGAAAGTAGATTGTCTTATTTTTGTCTGATGGAGGTGGATTTGAACCACCAAAGAGGTGCTGCCCCTTTTGGTGCTTTCTTATTCACTAGAACACTAGAGTGTCCTGAAAGTAAAGGTTAGCCAAGTAAAGAAGTCATTACTTTCAAATCAGGATTTTTTTTTATTTTTATTAATTTTAGTGAAAGTTTACAGAGACTTAAAGTTTCCAGTCATTCATTATTGCACTTTTCTCCCTGCCCACCTCCTCCCCACCAATTCACTTTTCTCCTTGATAAGTAAAAGAAAAACTCATTCCTATGCAATCCCTCCCCCCAAGTTCACTGCACTGTGCAGCCTTCATTCTAGACTCCTATCATGACAATAATACCTAATCATATATCCCTTTTAAACAGTTCTCTCCCTCATCTGTTGCAATGCTGTATACATCCTTCCTCCCCTTCTTCTCTGTTTTCCCTCAACCCCAATATCTGTCCTGTTTTACAGTAGTGGCCCTATGCAATATTTGTCCTTTTGTGACTGAGATATTTCACTCAGCATAATGTCATCTAGGGTTATCTAGTTAGCATAGTATTTCATGAGTTCCTTGTTCAAATCAGTTTTGATTTACAGCAACCCTCCATCAGGTTTCTGAGACTATATATTGTAATGAAAGGAGACTGCCCGTCTTTATCCACCAAAAAAATCTGGAAGACTCCACAACTCCTAAAGAGATGTAGCCTTTTGGTTTCACTACAACACCGTACAAACTATGCCACCAGAGTACTTAATGTAAATTTGTTACATCTTTTAAATATTCATAATACTTTATTTTGTAGTTATACTGAGATACACAATTGGAGGGAGCTAGAGGATAGTTGCATGTGTACAAGATTTAGGTGGGAGATAAAAATGTATGAGACTCATTCACATTGAATTTGAACAAGTATAAATACTGAGAGATAGTAAGTTTACCACACTTATTTGGGGAGGAAGTAATCCTTTTTAGATTTTACATGTGTGTGCCTGTGAGCTTGTGTGTTAAACAAGCTAATACTTTTTTTTCCCCCCCCTTAGATCCTATACAGTGGTCCACAGACCAGGTCCTGCATTGGGTAGTCTGGGTAATGAAGGAATTCAGCATGACTGATATAGACCTCAGCACGCTCAACATTTCAGGAAGAGAATTATGTAGTCTCAATCAAGAAGATTTTTTTCAACGAGTTCCTCGGGGAGAAATTCTCTGGAGTCACCTGGAACTTCTTCGAAAATGTATGAAATCAAACTTACCTATTCTTGTAGTAATTTAAGTTAAATTGTATTTCTTTTAACTTTATTTTCATCTCAGTTGTTCATTGATAATTACAGTGCTTAATACTTGTTAAATGTAGGATATGCTAAGAGATTTATGTGCATTATCTTACTAATCTCATACCAGCTCTACAAATCATTACTTCTGTATGGTGTCTTAGCTGCTGTCTGGTCAACACTGCTCTTCGTAATCTTGGGCATAACATGATTACCCTGTTGTAATCCATAGGATTAGTTCTTCTTGTTTACCGTTGAGCATGACTCATAGCGACCCTGTGTACAAAAAGGTGTAAAGCCTTTCTATAACTATCATTATTTATCCAAGTCCATGGCGTTTCCAGAGGCATGTTGTTAAGGAAGCGGATGCCGCTCCTGCTTCCAAGTAATACAGTTAATTTTTTTTAAACTGCTAATTGAATGGGATTTTAGGAAAAGATAAGAGATGCAGCCAGTCATCTTGATTTGTGAGCCTCTGGTGTTCATTGTTGTGGTGGTTCTTCACAGATATTATGATGTAGTGTTGCAGGTTTTTTTATGACTATATTTTAAGAAATTAACAAAGAATTAAGATTTTTTTTTTAATGGATATGGATGAAAATGTTGTTTTATTGTATATTCTGAAAGGAGAGATAGCTAGTTGGGAGATTTTCCACAATAATTTGAATTCTTGGAATTTCTGTCCAGAGTTCACAGTCTGCTGTAGATACAAAATGAATTCTAGAGAGTGTCTTTCTCCCTATGTCTCTGTGCAATTACTCTCGTTGTTAAAAAGGAAAGACGTAACTGTGACTTTAAAAGACTTCTAGGGAGCCCTGCTGGCCTACTTGTTAGGGAGTTGTCCTGCCAATGCAGAGGTAAGTGTTTTGAATCCACCAGCTTCATGGGAGAAAGATGGGCAACTTTCTACCCTGAAAGTTACAGCCTCTGAAAGCCCCCCAGAGGGTCATCTATGCGTCTGTTCCTATTCATGAGTTGAGTTGAAAAAATTAGTGTTGATTCCGTAGATGGAATTTATTTCTTAACCAGTTCAATGATTAGTAGATAAATAAGTTGAGTGTTCTGGTTGAAGGCTCAGTTTTAGTGTCATGAATTTTCTCTGCAGCTAAATAAATTCTGAATTGTTTCAGATTCTTAACATATGAATCATGTTTATGGAAATATATTTGTATTGGAACTCTTGAGACTGGACAAAGATTGATTTTGCCCATGCTCATGGTATTCATTGCTTATTTCAAGTTGGTACTTTATTGTGATTGCCTTTTTCTTATTCTGCTAAATGCTTTCTACACTGTAAAGCTCCTTAACTGACTTTTCCAAGTATCTTTAGCAAAGCTATCTTGTGACTCTTTTCCATGTCATTTTGTTCAGAAAAACTGCTCTTTTCTTGGAAAAAAATCAACAAAGACCACAGTTTAAAGCACTGCAGGGAATTCCCTGTTTGTCTATCCAAATGCTTTGGAATTTTTATGCACAGTCTAGAAAGATGGTTTAGCAGACTATGGCAGAATAATTCTCAAGCCCCACTTCCACAGATAGAGACATTTGAGCATTATCCAGCACCCTGGCTCTTCTGCTAGTGTGAAGGCTACAGCATATGTTTAAAAGGAATTGGTTCCTGTTCAGAATTTATTAACTCAACACCTTACTCCTATTCCTTTTCAGTTTTTTTTTTGTGTGTGTGTGTTTTTTTTTTAAATTTTTGTTACTTTTTGTGTATGTACCGTCAAATCAGATAAGACTGGTACAGGAAGAGATTATCCTTCCTTCTCCAGCAGAGCTTATGGTGAATTTGAACCGCATACCTCTGGGATTGCAGTGCAGCTTCTTGCCACTAGGCCACCAGAACTCCCTTTCAGTAATCTCTTAAATAATACTGGGCAGGTTGACCTCTTCATCATCTTTACAACTCCATGACAAAGTAGGTTGGAGTGTGTTATTTAAAGATGAGGAAATCTCTTGTTAACTGGTGCTGATTAAAGTAGTACTGTAGGCACAGTAGTTGAGTGCTTGATAGCCAGAGGATCAGCAGTTTGAACCCACTGAATTGATTAACCCAGTGAATTAATCATTAAAGTACAGAATTCTAACATGCTATCTCCAGCCTCATTTCTGTTACCAAGTCTGTATTTTCCAACTGACAGTCCTCCTTTGTTTCCAACATCTGCATTCCAGTCACCAGTTATTGTTAATGCATCTTGGTTGTGTGTTTAATCAATATCAGACTGCAGAAGTTGGTAGAAGTCCTCCATTTCTTCATCTTTGGCTTTTGTGGTTGGTGTGTATGTTTGAAAAATAGTTGTATAGGGTATATTTGAATAATAGTTGTATTGGCAGATCTTCCTTATATGCATATAGATAGAATTCTATAGTTTAACAGTACTGTACTTCAGGGTAGATCTTGACATGTTCATAAACAGCGAGTATACACATGGACCTCGTGTGGTGGACTGCACAGGAGTCAGATTGACCTCATTATTGGAGAGAGTCGATAGAGAAGCTCAATAATCAGCAGTCAAAACAAGACCAGGAGCTAACCATAGTTTTGATGTCAGATGAATGTTGGCTGAAAGCAGAGAATCCAGAAAGTTGTTGACCTGTGTTTTATTCATTATGCAGAGGCATTTGTGTTGATCAGTGGGTTCAAATATATTAGATCCTGAGGATAACAAAAGGATGGGCAGTGTTCAGCTCTGTTGTTCGTAAGGTCACTGTGAGTTGTAGTCGATTTGATGCTACCTGACAAGAAGCAGCAGTGGCTCAGCAGGGAGCTAGAAGGTATAGTCCATAGGGAGGCTTGTTGCTAACACAATGGCTTTGCAACCGACACCTTCATAGTAGAAATACGCAATCTCCTCCAGTTTCTGTTTTTAGCTTTGGAAACATGATAAAGGATCACTGTGTATTGGTACCAACATTAAAACTGTTCTATGGAAAAAGATGTAGCACTCAGCTTCTGTAAAAAGGATAGCCTTGGAAAAGTTGTGGGCCCTTCTACTTTATCTTTAGGGTTGCTGTGGGTTAGACTCAACTAGACAGTAACAGACCTTTAGGTGGATTAATTTACCACGATCAGACAGTTAATAGATAAGAGATTTTTTTAAACCCAGATCTACCTGAGGCTAATTTCATGTAATTATTAAATCTCCAAGCCTAGAGCCTCCAAAGCAAGCTGCGATATTATAGTAAGGACTTTTTTCTCAGCTTTGTGTTTCTGGAAGTACATGGTATAGCACTCTTACTTAGAATCTCTTGAGGAGAGGGTTGCCCAGGCCCCCACAGTTATCACAGAATATTTGCTTTTTCGGTTGAAGTAATAGAGACTTGAAAAACAACTCTTATTTGAGAGCTAAAGATTAGTGTCTGAATAGGGAAGAACTGCTGATTAATAGTTCTGTGAAAGAGTTAAAGACTCATTAAATGTGGCTGTTCTGTTGAGAATGGTATTTTTATGCTTGTTATTTCATTTAACTGTGACATTTAGGCCAGCTTCCAATTTGTTGAAAATGTTGCTGTTTTTTAAAGGAGGGGCATTATATATAAATTAAAGCAGTTTATTGAAAAGTTAATGTCAGCATAGTTTAGTATATGACAGGTTATCTTAGATTATCCGAAGGACCAGTGAGCTCTTTTCGTGAAAAATTTTTATGTAAATAATTGCAGAGTAGCACATGTTCATGTTTTTCCATAGTTCTGGATAGTCGTACTTAGATAGAGATCCTAGTAACAACTATTATATCTATAATAGAAAATAATGATTCTCCAAGCAGAATTTTTTTTAGCACTAAAATAAACAAGTATTTTTCATATACACCTTCCTTTGTCATATCTGTTCTGGTTGAGCCTAAATGTACAACAGAACATCTAGGACCAACAGATGATCCTATGCCATCCTCGTAGTCATTGCTTGTTGTGGCACTGTATCAGTCCAACCTATTGAGAGGCTTCCTTGTTTTCATTGACCCTCTATTTTATCAGGCATCCTCCTCCATCAAGTGTCCTCCTCTAGGACCTGGCCATTTCCTGATAACTTACCTGAAGTAGATTGGTTTTGCTTCATAGGAACATTCTGTTCTATGTCTTTAAAAACAAATTTCTTCATTCTTCTGGTCATAGTATATTCAGTATTCTTCATCAATACCATAATTCAAATGCCTAAGTTCTTCTCATTATCCATTTTCCAGTTATCTCATTTATTGAGTCAATTGAAAAGAACTATGCCTTGAGTCAGATGCATCTTGGTTATAGAAGTGACAACTTTGTTTTATATTATTTCAGGGAGGTCTTTTGCAGCAGACTTGCTCATGTAATATGTGGTTTCCAATATGTGCCAGTAACTTTCAGTTATTTAATGATGTACTTATTTATTTTTTGCTTTAATTGTGTAGTTCCATTTGTAAGAAGGAATTGTATTTCTTATTTTAATTTTACTGAATGGGTTTGCATTTCCGTTTTTTAAATGAAGTAAATTTTTCTTATATTATTCAGATGTATTGGCAAGCCAAGAACAACAGATGAATGAAATAGTTACAATTGATCAGCGTGAGTATTTGTTCTTACTAATATATACATTTTCTCGTTTTAAAATTAATATTTTAAAATTGGTGTACTGCAAAGTGGTAAAAAAATTCTTTTTAAAAATCTTACTAAACTTTTTCTGATATACAGAATAACCAGTAGTTATCTATGTATACCACCTATGTAGACCACAGAATAGAAAAAATGTACATTTACTGAGTTTAGATCCCATTTTCTTTATTACCACAGGCTGTCTAACTATGTGGCAGTACAATAAAGCGTTTATAGGTTACATAAGTTATGTAACCCATAAACTTTATTGTACTGTCAATGTGTTTAATGTTTTTGGAGGATTTTTTAAACATTCAGAGCCTTTCACATGTTAATACTTTTCAGTTCTAGTCCATTCCATTTTTACTCCTGTATTGTATTCCATTGAATGAATATACCTTTTCCATTGATTGATTCTTAATTTCTAATTTTTATTGTTCATAAAAATGCTGTTCTGTGAGTTACTGAACATGAGTGAAATGCTCTAGTTATATAGGGTTTCCACTTTGTCATCTTGCTAAATTTTCCCACAGTGTTTCTCAGAGTGATAATGTGAATTTTTACAATAATCATTAGTAGAGTGTGAGTTCCTATCTGTCTACATTTTCTCCAGTGTAAACTAATGAAAATAGCATACTACTACTTCTGAATTTTTCTGTGATTTTGTTAGAAGCTATTAGGGATTAACTTTTTTTGGCAGTGTTCTTTTCTGTAAGTATTAGCAAAACTGATTACATTTAATGTCTTTCAGCAATTTTTTATTGCTTACATTGCAGGAGGTAAAAAATATTTTTCCTTTGTTTCTTCTTACAGCTGTGCAAATTATTCCCGCTTCAGTACAGTCTGCTACACCAACTACCATTAAACTTATAAATAATAGTACAAAGGCAACTAAAGTGCAAAGAGCACCGAGGATTTCAGGAGAAGATAGAAGTTCACCTGGGAATAGAACAGGTATTTTCGCATTGTCATCTGTTAATAATAAAATTTCTCAAGTATATTTTGGTTATTTCATACATGGACTTGTGACTGTGGACTATACTCTGGCTGTTCTTAGACATTTATTAAAAAATTTTGTTACTGAGTTGCTGCTGTTAGGTACTATCAAGTTGAATATGACTCATTGTGACCCTGTGAACAAAAGATCTAAACATAGCCCTGTCCTATGCCATCCTCACACTTCTTGACACACAAGAGCCCATTGCAGCTGTCATCTTGTTAATCCACCTGGTTGAGGGTCTTCCTCTCCTTCACCAACACTCCACCCTTCCCAGCATCATGTCTCTCTCCCAAGGAATAGAACCACCTAGCCACATGTCTAAAGTATGTGAGGCGAAGCCTCATCATTCTTGCCTCCAAAGGGCACTTTATCTGCACCCTCTCCAAGATATATCTGTTCGTTCTCTTTTCCGTCCATGGGATATTCTGTGTTCTTCTCAACACCACAGCTCAGAGGCGTCAGTTCTTTTTTTTTTTTTTTATCCTTATTCATTGTCCAGGTCTCGGATGTGTAGCTAGTTATCAAAAGACTATGGCCTTAATCAGATACACCTTAGTCTTCAAACTGACATCACTACTCCTCAATAACTTGGAAAGGTCCCTAACTGCAGATTTTCCCAGTACAGTGTGTCTCCTTATTTTCTGACTGCTGGTACCAAGGATATTAATTGTAGATCCAAGGAAGATGAAGCTGTTGACAGTTTCCGTCACCCCTTCATTTTCATGACACTGCCTATTGGTCTAGTGGTAAGAATCTTTGTTTTCTTAATATTAAGACGCATTCCATACTCAAGGCTGCATTCGTTGATCTTCGCAACAAGTGCTAAGTCCACAGGAACCAAGATATGATCTTGAATCAATTCATCTGAATTTCATGATCATCTTAAGAATAGGTTTGAGGCATTGAACACCAGTGATGGAAGACCAGTTGAGTTGTGGGATAATATCATCCATGAAGAAAGCAAAAGGTCATTACAAAAACAGAGGAGAAAGGGAAAAAATAAAAATAAATGCCAGAAATGATTCTAAAGATTGCACTGGAACGTTGAGAAGCCAGATCTAAAGGAAAACACGTTGATGTGAAAGAGCTGAACAGACGACTTCAAAGAGCAGCTTGGAAGGACAGAGTATTATAATGGAATGTGCAGAGAGCTGGAATTGGAGAATGAGAAAGGAAGCACTTGCTCTACATTTCTCAAGCTGAAAGAACTGAAAAATAAACTTAAGCCTCGTGTCACAATGTTGAAAGATCCTGTGAGCAATATAGTGAATGACCCAGGAAGCATCGAAAGAAGATGCAGGGAATACACAGAGGCACTGTACCAGAAAGAATTGATTGACACTGAAAAATTTCAAGAAGTATCATATGAACAGGAGCCAATGGTAATAAAGGAGGAGGTAGAAGCTGCATTGAAGGCATTAGCAAAAATATAAGGCCCCAGGAATTGAGGGGATATCAATTGACATGTTTCAATTAACAGATGCAGTGTTGGATGCACTCACCAATCTATGCCAGGAAATTTGGAGGACAGCTGTCTGGCCAGTGGATTAGAAGAGGTCCATATTTGTTCCTGCTCCCAAGAAGGGTGATCTAATTGAGTATAAAATTATTGAACAGTATAATTGATATCACATGCAAGCAGAATACTGCTGAAGATCATTTAAAAACAGCTGGGGTAGTACATAGGGAATTGCCAGAAGTTCAAGCGGGCTTTAGGAGAGGCTGTGGCACCAGGGATATCATTGTTGATGTCAGAAGGATTCTAGCTGAAAGTAAAGAATACCAGAAGAATGTCTTTTTATGCTCTATTGACTATACAAGGCATTTGACTATATCATGACAAGTTGTGGCTGACATTGAGGAGAATGGGAATCCCAGAGCACTTGATTGTGCTCATAAGGAACCTTAACTGGATCAAGAGGCTGTTGTTACTAATAAAACTGGGATATTAATTGTAGAACTTAAATATGCCTTTTGCATTATGTTAATCCACGTGTAGTACGGTATATAATGCTTGTCCCTCTTGTTATTTTAGGAAACAATGGCCAAATCCAGTTATGGCAGTTTTTACTAGAACTTCTTACAGACAAGGATGCTCGGGATTGCATTTCTTGGGTTGGTGATGAAGGAGAGTTCAAGCTAAATCAGCCTGAACTTGTTGCCCAGAAATGGGGACAGCGTAAAAATAAACCTACCATGAACTATGAGAAACTCAGCCGTGCATTAAGGTAAGCAATTTATTCCCTTTTTAAAAGGCAAGCCTTTCTAAAAAGTGGCTTCCTGTTTAAGATGATGATGTTGTTACATGCTGTTGAGTCAGTAGTGATTCACAGAATCTCTTTGTACAATGCACCTGCAACTTGCTTAGTCCTGTGCCTTCTTCATTCACACTGTCTTCGATATACTTGAGCCCATTGATAAAATCACTTTGTTAATGTATCTTGTCAAGGGTCTTCTCTTCTTTTGATGATCCTTCACCTTTCCAAGCATGATACCTTTTTCCAAGCACTGGTTCTTCTAACAACATGCCCGAAGTATATGAAGTGAAATTTATCCATCCTTATCTCTTCAGGAGTACTCTGACTGAACTTTCTCTAAGACATATTTGTTTGGTCTTTTGACAGTCCATGGGATATTCCGTATCCTCTAGGAGCACAATTCAAAGACGTCTGTTCTTCTGTCATTCTTATTCAACTTGTAGATGTTCTAGATGTATGTATTATTAAATAAGCAGCTGAGGTTAAAATTTGGTTTGTTCATCAAAAGTTTTCTTTGTCACAATCGCTTTTTCTTCACATAATTTTTTTTTTTAAAAAGCTAGTGTTTTCTTGCTTATTGTTAAAATAGCAGTTTTAAAGAACACTAGTAATAATACTGGCATACATAGATGCTTTTTAAGGTAAATTAACATTATTTGTGATTATTCTATTTAACACGTTGCCGCAAATGACAGCAAATGTGGGTTTTGGTGTTTTTGGGTTTTTTTGGTTGTTTTTTATTTTGGGTCAAATGTGTCTCTAAGCAACAGTAAATATTTCTGGTCATCATCCCAAATAATGCCTGTGCAATCAGTAATCACAAAGCTATTAAATAATGATTCTAGATTTTCAATTTTGGCATTACTCTGACTTGAAAACCTTTGATAAAGAAGAACTATATCATTGTTTCACAAAGTTTTGTCTTGTTTAATTTTATTTTAAAACAGTATCGTTGCCAGTTGAGCAGAACCGATTCATAGTTGATCGTACAGTGGCTTTTTAGAGGCTGTGAATCACAGAAGAGATTATCCATCTTTATCCCACAGAGCAGCTGATGGATTTGAACCCCTGCTTTTGGAATAGCAGAGCAGCTCTTAACCTACTATGCCACTAAGTTCTGTTTATAAAATAGTCTAAAATATTTTAAGAAGTGTGAATTTTTTATTCTTAATATAACCCTGATATATTTTTCTCTTTTTAAAGGTATTATTATGATGGGGACATGATTTGTAAAGTTCAAGGCAAGAGATTTGTGTACAAGTTTGTTTGTGACTTGAAGACTCTTATTGGATACAGTGCAGCAGAGTTGAACCGTTTAGTCACAGAATGTGAACGGAAGAAACTTGCTAAGATGCAGCTTCATGGAATCGCCCAGCCAGTGACAGCTGTGGCCCTGGCAACTGCTTCTCTACAAACAGAAAAGGATAATTGAGTCCTAGGAACTTTCAGGAGTCTTCAGTCTTTCTTAAATAATTAGAGCACGTATTGCTCCTAACCTTTATTACTGAATTTGAATCTCTTTATTTTCTAGACTGTAAAATCTGATGCATGATTTTTTTAATATATATTATATATAAATATTTCCTACTCTTGTGAATTTGGATCTTTTTACTTTGAGCATATATTTTAGATTATATGTCTGTTAAGGGGGTCACCACAGTGTTTGCAGCTTGAAGGCAACATGCTCATTGTTGGATAGTTTGTTAACAGACAGGAAAGCGAAACTAGTCAGTATTAATGTCTAGCTCTACCAAAAATAGCCAGTAGCATCTGAAGATGAAAAGTAAATGACATTTCTCCAGGAAACAGTCTGACCTAACTGTATTTGAAAATGTAACTGTTTCCTGTCTCTGCTGCTTTAGATGTTGCTTTAGATAGAGCTGGAAAATGGACTTTTTTTTCCCAGCCAAAGCATGTGTGCCTGTTTTCATCTAATCAAGCAGAGCTAAAATGCTATACTCAAATATAATGATGTTAATAAATCACTAACTAAGAGTATCACATTATTAAAGTAATTTATATATTTGCAAGCAAAGGCAGTAAGAAGTTGAAGCACTGGCAGAAGAGCAGTGCTGAAGAAAGAGATCCAGATTTAAATCTGGCTTAACTCAAGCCAACTTTAAGGAGTTGCTGTATAGACTATACGTAATATGAGGCCAAGAAGTTAAATTATTTTGAAAGAGGCATTTAATTCTAATAAATCAGCTATTGCAAAAATCCTGAAATGATCTCTGTTTTTCCTGTCAGAGATTTAAAAACCTGATAGAGATTAAATACCTCAGCCAGAAAATAAAAGTTTGGTTTGGTTTGGTGTGGCTTGCTTCCTTTTTTACTTTTTCCTTTTATTACCCTCTAGTGCCAGTTTATTATACAAGGCAGCTTAAGTATTCACTATATTTTTGAAGACTCTAAATCAGTCAACAGTGTTTTTGCCATTCAAAACGTTAGTAAATTACTCATAGGCCTTTTTCTGTCTTAAAACATTCCATGTACTTAATTTTTTTCTTCTTGAATATTATATGTGTGTGTATACAAATACATATAAACATTTATAATTTACTATGTATCTGAAGGCATAAGTTATTCAAAAGGAAAATTTATCAAATAACTCATTTTTTTTTTTTACATCTTCCTTAAGCTAACACTAAACAGAAATGGCTGGAAATATCTTCTTTTTTTTTTTTCCTGTCTTTTTGTTACTTGTTTTAAGGTATGCATGAATTATGAGATGATAAACTGGCTCATAGCTTTTCAGTCCTCCTACAACAAAAAAAGATTGATTCTGGAATTCCACTTTACTCACAGCCTTCATCATTTCCTTTTAATCTATTCTAAATCAGCTTTATATTAAAGCTCAGCTAATACTTTTAATAAAGAGGAAAAGGCCAGAATATCATCAAGGTGGATTGTTAGCACTTGCTGCTACCACTGCTAACAAGTGGTATGAAAGAAACCATATGAGGGATGGATCTTGGAAACAAGGAGAAAAGATGGACTCTAGGATTACTTTTTCTGTAATCATAAACCTTAATTTGAAACAGTCTCCTCAAGGTTACCTATAATGTCAACTAATTTCTATTCTTGTGTAAAGGCCTTTAAGACTCAAAGCTGTTAACAGGAAAATATTAGACTTTTTAACTTCTGTTTGTGAGTTTTTTTAATAAACCCAACATAGGCTTATTTTTGTTACAGTTTGGTCAGTTTTATTGCAAGAATATCTTGTATAGCAATGTGAAAAAATAGAAGCTATACCTCCAGATAGCAACTAGGGAGCAAAATATTTCATACCAACATGTTGTGGCTTGTGTAATTGACAAGTCACATGGTTTATTAGAGAAATAGTAATTATCCTGATACATTATCAAGGTTAAAATCTTGAACTTTAGTTAGATTTTGTACCACCCTGACAATATAAATTTTAGCCAAGGTGATGTTTTTTATGTCTTAAATCTATTTTTGTAAGGCTGAGAATACCCATATTTCTTTTTAGAGCCCCAGCCTCAAAACAATGTTTCTTTTCTCCTTTAACATGCATACTTCACCTCTCTCTGCTCTCTCCCCCCCATAGATTACATTTATATTTTCTTGTTCTTTGAACAGAGATAGTTCTCATACATGATAAATGCTTTATCATTTTTCTTCTCCACCACTCTGATCATCTTTTTATACACAATTTGAGTAAAATAATGAGATAAAGTTACCCAGTCAATTTAAGAAGTCTTTCATTAACTTTGTAGTTCCATCTTAGCTATTGGGTTTTGTCCTTGTTCGGGTCATAATTGTCAGAAAGCTAGATAGTCTTATTGTGAAAAAATTACTCAAATAATAAATGTTCACCTTTGTTTTAAAACTTGTTTTCCATATGTGATTTCATTGAGTCACCTTTCCTAAGTATCTCTCTATTCTAATGTCTGAAAATGTGTGTTGTCATTGAAAAATCAAGCAGAATTACTGCCTGTGGTTGGCATTCACATTATTGACCTGTCCACATGCAGTTTTGTATCGATTTCTGTTTGAAAGAAAAGTTTTGTTTTTCTCCCGTGACTAGTGAAACTTAAATATAACTCCTTTAAAGGGTGTGCCTCCAAACATATGGGATGAGTCTTACCGTGTTTAATATTTATTTGTTAGTGTTTTATTATTTGAAATAGCACACAATGTTAAAAGTCATAATTTCAAAACAAACTGTGACTAAGTTAAATGTCTTCAGAACTAGAGGGTATGAAAATAGTGATATTTTAGTTGCTGCCAGGAAAAAAATATTCTCAATCTTTTGTAAAAGGGAGAAAGACTTTTGCATACATTTTTACTCTTTAAATAAAGACAATTATACTGTCATAATAACAATTATGTATTTCTTTGTGGTTAAATTTTTTTGTAATTTTACATAAAGCAGTTATTTTCTATTTTTACTCAGATAAAAAAATATTTGCATAAAATGTCAAAATAGTAAAATGAGAAATAAAACTATTATACATTATGTCTCTGTGATGTGTGAGGTGGGAGTTTTGGGTATTCATCCCTTCTATACAGAAGTTATTTCTAATTCTTAGGATATTAGGTTGAGTGAAAACTTGAAAGTCCATATTCTACATCTAGTTATTCACAGAACCAACTCCTAAATGATTCTTTGTTTAAGTACTGTCAAGTTAACCATGATTCATAATGACCCGATGAAGAACAGATAGATCTGTGCCTTCCTGTGCTAGCCTCATCATCTCTGATGTATGTAGGTTCATTGTTACAGCCATTCTGTCAACCTGACTTGTTGAAGGTCTTCTCTTTTGTTTACCAACTTCACCTTTCCACCCTTGACATCTTTTTCCCAGAACTGGCCTTTCCTAACAATATTTCCAAAATCTGTGAGATGAAATGTCACTGTCCTGGCTTTTTAGGAACACCATGGTTGCAGTTTCTGCAGGATGAATTTGTTTGCTATTTTGATGGTCTATGAGATATATAGCACCACAGTTCAAAGGCATTGGTTCTTCAGTTTCCTGTCATAACATAGCAGCCTTTCTTACATGTGTATATGAAGCTATTAAATACATAGAATAGCATGAATCAGGCACACCTTCCATGGAGAGCAAACACCTTAATCCTTACTCTTTAGCATTTTAAAGAGAGATTTGACAGCAGAAATCCCAATGCTGCATGTCCTTTGTTTGTGGGAGTCCCTCCCCTTTTTAAAAAAAAAATGTTAATGAAAGTTTAGAGACTGGATTTCCATTCATTCATTCATTCATTGTTGCACTTTTATTGCTGCCCAACCTCCCCCCACCCATTGGCTCTTCTCTTTGAAAAGTAAAAGAAAAATTCTTTCATTGTTAATACAATCCCTCCCACCAAGTCCACTCCACTATGCAGCTTTCATTCTGGATTCCTGTCATGACAATAATACCTAATCACATATCCCTTTTAAACAGTTGTTTAAAAAGTTCTCTACCTCATCTGTTTCAGTGCAGTATATATAATTTATTCCATCTTTCTCAATCTTCCCTCAACCCTGATGTCAGTCCCGTTTTACAACAGTGGCACTGTGCAGTATTTGTCCCTTTGTGACTGAGATACTCAGCATAATGTCCTCCAGGGTCACCCATTTTGAATATTGAGTTCCTTGCTTTTTGATGCAGCATAGTATAACTGTAAATATACCACATCTCCATTCTATTTTTAAAAATTCCTTTACCCTCTCTCAGGCAGCTCTCCCACCAAACTGTTATCCTAATGATTTCCTCTCTTCCTACCCCTTTTTGGACTTTTATACGCACCTTAACTAGTTATCCTTCTATGTTTTACAATAATGGTGCAATGCAGTATTTGACCAAGTAAGAGTGAGTGAGTTCACTCAGCATAATGATATCCCCAGGTTACATGGTTTTGTACAAAATAATTTCTCCTTAGTTCTACATAGTATTCTATTGTGTGAATGTACCACAAGTACTCAATCCGTTGGTTTGTCTTAGATGGACATTTGGACTGTTTCCATTCCCCCCCCCCCCATTACGAATAATGCTGCTGTGAACATAGGTGTTCAAATCTCAGCTTGTGTCTCAGTTCTCTTTTCCTTGGGATATATTTCCTAGCAGTGGGAAACAGTTGGGTTATATGGTATTTCTATGGCCATCTTTTTAAGAAAACACTGAAGTACATTCTAGAGTGGTTGTATCCTTTTACAATCTCACCAGCAATGCATGAAGCTTCCCAATCTTCTCTAACAGTTTTGCTTCCTGTCTTCTTAAACTTGGCTACTATACTTGGGTGAAATTGTATCTCAATGTGGTTTGATTTGATTGCCAGGGATTTGCGCATTTCTTCATATATCTGTTGGACAGCCAGATGTCTCCCTTTGTGAAAGGTCTTGCCATATCTTTTGCCCATGTTGTGATTGGGTTATTAGTCTTCCATGTGGAGGCCCTGTATTCTGTAAACTTTTCATTATAAGGCCAATTTCTGACATGTCACTGCTAAATTTTTTTTTCCCAGTCTGTAGGTATTCTTTTCATTTTATTGGAAAAAGTTTTGAAGCACACTAGGACTACATTTTTAGAATGTCCAATTTACCAATTTTGTCCTCTAATGGTTATGTATTTCTGACTTTGCAAGCCTGTTTATTCTATAGAGTCTATAGGTCTTTTATGTGTCCCATTTTGTCCCTTAAAGTCTTTATACTTTCAGCCTTTACACCTAGGTCTCTGATCAATCCTGAGTTGATTTTTATATGATGTGAGGTGTGGATCCCGCTTCAGTTTTCTGCAGATGTCCAGTTTTGCCACTACTATTTGTTGAAGAGGTTGTAGTTTCCCCATTTGATACATTTTGTTTCCTTGTAAAGTACCAGTTCACTGTAGGTAGATGGGTTCATTTCTAGGTTCTTAGTTCTGTTCCATGGGTCTAGGTGTCTATCAGTACCATGGTTAACATGGCTACTAATTTTTGGTTATTCCAGTTGTATAGTAGTAGGCTTTGAGATCAGGGAGTGCTATGCCTCCCACTTCATTTTCTTTTACAGAAGTAAGTGCTTTTCTTATTTGGGGTTTCTTTTCCAAATAAATTTACCAATTGCCTTTTCTATCTCTCTGGAAAATGAATTTGGTGTCTGTATTGGGATTGCATTAAATATGTAGATGGCTTTTGGTAAGATTGTCATTCTCCCCCGTGCCAAAAGAACTATTATTTGGTTGCTGAGAATAATCAGAACATTTCAAACTGGTAAAATCCAGGGCAATCTCAGAAATGATAATTCAAAATGAAAATTCATCTACATTCACAGATAGGTTTACGTGGGATACACGTATGTAACCATCTGTTTTGTCTTTCAGAGTGTCTGTAAAAGGGTCAAGGCCACCAATCCTCAAGACATTATTTTGTACATTACAGTGCCCAGAACAAAGGAAGGAAAGACACTTTGAAAGTGACTGGAAGTCATTTTGTAATAAGTCCTTATCATTCAGAAA